GTCTTCATGAAACGCTTCTCGATGTGTGCGTGTCATCCTTCAACACTAGCGAATGAGTGGTTTGCTCGTCTACAATGGGCTTGAGGAAATTGAAGAATATACAAATTCCTTCACCCCTAAGCCTCTAAGCCCGCAAAACTTTGGGAATCCCTTGATGATTTGCATAGATTGAAGAACTGTTCAAGACATGGCGCAGCTTGCAAGACATATCCCACCAACCCAGAGGTCAGTTGATACAAACTCGGCCAAAATAAGGCCTGAACTAGGAGCGAAGAACAATTCATCTGACCCGCCTACCAACTCGTCCGCTGAGCAGCATGTTTCTGGCCAATTTCAATGTAGGACAGCAATATGTTCAGCACCATTTCCCACAGGCCTCCCGCCCGGCAATCAGGCCGCTTCTTCTCCCACCACCCCCCCCCACCGCCCCATGCCCATCGCTGCGTGGGCCATCCCACCAACGTCAGACGTCTTCCGGTCTTCCGAGGTGCAGCCAGGTGATGAGCGCGAGCAAATCCACATAGATCACCGTCCGGCCGAAGGCATCGAAGTCCCAGGGGCGAGCAACGCACGCGATCCTGGTACGCGATGGGCAGCGGCAGGTTTGAAGGGAACAGACCAGAAGCTGCCAAGTGAGAGACTTCAAAAAGGGACAAACAACAAACTGGCTGAAGTAGAAGATCTCGATTTGATCGACAAACTGTTCCACAACACAACATCCTAGGGTCCTATGACCCTGTTCCTTTGGGAGTTCGATTTGGCCACTGGCTATCTATCTATCTATCGTATGCGGGTTGGGTAGGTGAGTTGCACTCAATGGATAAGCACGTAGCGACGTGTTCTCGCTTCAAGTTCTCTGAGGTTCTCCCCGCTTGGGAATACCCTTCCAATAGGGAAAACCAAAGAGAACATAGACCTTCGTCTAACACAAAAACTGGAAAACATCTTGGTCTTTATTTTTTCCAACATAGATCTTGGCACCTTGGTCTACGCAAAACTGGCTGTCCTAACCCTAGAAGTGGTCAAATGACTGTAGAACTTTACAGTAAAATAGATATTTTACCACATTATTATACTATCATATATCATATAACATCATATAACCAGTCGCCTGTCCTACGTCCACACGAATGGATTTCAGGAAGTCTTGCCTGCCTGAAGTACCAAAGCAGCCCTGTTCCGTGGAAAACAAGGCGGTTCGCCACCCGCGGTTCGCCACGCTGTCTACGCGCCGTCGAGTGGCGGGTCCCTGAGACATGGACCCGCGGCGGTGGAGGACCAAACGTAGTGCATGGTCGACAGCTGGATGATGGCGCCTGGGGCACAGGAAGTTGAGGGGCCTGCATCGAGTCGAACATCTCCAGACTTCCCAAATCTGACCTGAAACAACTGCAAACAGTTCTGGCTCCCAGTTCTGGACACCAGTTCGCTCTCCACCGGCGTGCACCTGCCAAGGCCAAGGGCAGTGGTGGCCCATCTGGCAGGTCCCGAAGCTCGGTGGAGCCCGTCTTCGTCGTCATCGGCGGGTTCGCAGCCCGCGCCGCTCGGCAGCTCGGTGCAGCTCGACTGATCGTGTGGTGTTGATGTGGTTCGCACGTTGCGAACGTTGCTGGTCGTTGTTATGATGATTTTGTGTCTTAACGTGTCTTAACTACTTTGCGAACGCTGTTCTTCTAATATTCTATTCCCCTGTCCATTGTGGAGGGGGGTCCTGAGAGTCATTCTATAGATATGAAATGGTGGTCCCCACCCACTGGGTAGCCTAAATTGAAGAACCCGAGGTAAATTGCAAAGACCTAAATTGACCTTACCTGAGCTCTTTCCCACACCATCGTTCAAAAAAAATCACTGGGCTCTGTGGCTGGGCTCTGTGTCCAGGCCTTGTCCTCCTCTTGTCCTCTGTGGCTGGGCTCTGTGCTCTGTGTCCACCTCTTGTCCTCTGTGGCTGGGCTCTGTGTCCAGGCCTTGTCCTCCTCTTGTCCATTCCCAAGCCATCTTTTGCAGAGGTGGCCTGGACAAGGTGTTTTTTGCACCAAAAAAGCTATTTCAGGCCACCTTTGAGAGGGTCCTGCAAACCTTTTCTCTTGGCCGCGCCCCTGAACTCTGTGGCTTGGCTCTGTGCTCTGTGTTTAGGCCTTGTCCTCCCCTTGTCCTCTGTGGCTGGGCTCTGTGTCCAGGCCTTGTCCTCCTCTTGTCCACTCCCAAGCCATCTTTTGAAGAGGTGGCCTGGAGAAGGTGTTTTTGGCGCCAAAAAAGCTATTTCAGGCCACCTCTTATGAGGATCGTTTGAGAAGGTCCTGGAAACCTTTTCTCTTGACCGCGCCCCTGAACTCTGTGGCTTGGCTCTGTGCTCTGTGTCCAGGCCTTGTCTTTGCTCACATCCTCCAACTTCTTCTGGTCCTTGTTTGTTGCAGCATGTCTTATAGGTGGACGAACTGAGCCTGCTCCGCCCCAAAAGCAGCCCCAGATCCGGGCCTTGCCGGTAAGGCCCGGATTTCCACCCCCAGAGGCCTTGGCTGGTCCAGGCCTTGTCCTCCTCTTGTCCTCTGTGGCTGGGCTCTGTGTCCAGGCCTTGTCCTCCTCTTGGCCATTCCCAAGCCATCTTTTGAAGAGGTGGCCTGGAGAAGGTGGTTTTGGCACCAAAAAAGCTATTTCAGGCCACCTCTTATAAGGATGGTTTGAGAGGGTCCTGGAAACCTTTTCTCTTGGCCGCGCTCTGCGTCCAGGCCTTGTCCTCCTCTTGTCCTCTGTGGCTGGGCCTTGTCCTCTTCTTGTCGTTGTCTTGGCCACGCCCCTGA